TGGAATCCAAGCAGTGTTACTGAAGCAGTGTGGGATCACTGGAACAAAAGACTGACGACTACTCAAACAGTTTACATGAAAACTTGCCTAAGATAGTAGAAGAATAAATGGGGTCATACTGCACATACTGCACTCCTGGATCTATTCCCCACTGAGGGGTGGTTTAAGACATTTTACAGTACAGTACTGTACAACTAACTAACAGTACAGTGACTCAGTGGTTGGCACTGATGTCTTACAGTAAGAAGATCCTTGGTTTAAATCCTCTCAGTGGCTGGGGCCTTTCTATGTGGAGTTAATGTGTACTCCTGGTGTCCACATGGGTTCTGTCCAGATAATCTGGGTTCCTCCTACAGTCCAAAGACATGCCTGTTAGGTTAATTGGTAATTCTTATAATCGGTAATTGGCTTTATACTTAGACTGGCTTTAGATGAATAATCTTGTCCTGTGTGCTTTGACATCTGGGATAGGCTCCAGTGCCCCTGCCACCCTGAATTGGATAAGCGGTTAAGAAAATAAATGGATGTTTGTTTTCATGTTTTTAAGAAAACTATCATCAATGGGCACTTGTTAGCAGCTTACAGTTGATAAAAGATAGGCTTAGGAGCGAGGGAACATGGCTTTTATTCTGTAGTCTAGGAATAAAATAAGTATTAACATAGAATTTTTTAAACATGATGGCTGTCTTTGTTTTTCCATTCAAACTCGTTTGGTTTGTATTTTCACTATGTTTAAGGAAGAGAGCAGAATAGAGACTGTTTACAAACAGACCACCTCAATCAAACCTGGAAGAGCTTAAAAATCAATTTTACAGCCTGACAGTGTTGGCGTTTGTTATTTGTTGCTGTGTTTGTAAGTGGCTGGTAGCTTTGGCTCAGTGTAGCTGGCGGTATTGGTTGTTATTAGCTGGCTGCTAAGTTTCCCATGATGATTGCTACAGTGTTTCCACAAATCCTATACATCAAATGACTGCCAAACTGAATAACATATGAGATAGCACATTACTAGAATCTGCTATATCTGAAAATGAAGACCCGAGGGAATAAGGATGCAACCAAGACGACAAGAAAGAAAAAAAATCGTCTAGAAGGAAATAGCAGGACACGGCGATAAAAAAAAAGCTGCAGAGAAAACTCACCTCGGAGCTGCTGCTCCCTGTCATCTTTGAGACGAGAGTGCGAAACCTTAAAGGGTGCTGATTAAAAGCTCGGCTTCTTTATTGGCACACAGTCATATTACCAGGTGTTTGGATGTTTGCACTTTAACACTGCCATTTTTGAAGTAATTATCACGGTCCATTCTCTGCCTAATCATTAACTGCTGGCAGCCTCTTTCATTCATAACAAAGAAAGGTTATATATAATTGAAGCTTGTTTTAACATGTTTTCTACACTCTGTGTGTACTAGCTTTGCCTGCGTGCAGCCTGTGTACATAGGGGAATTAAACAGAGCTTTAAATTGCCCTGCAGAGTATTGATAATGACCACTTTCTCTTCAAGACATTTTCTGGTACTGATCACTTTTACCAGAAAATAATTGGATTTGCCCCCCCATTTTTGCCACCTAAATAAGGATTACATATAAGACTATGATTAAAAATAAATGTATTAAATGGAATCTATCTATCTATCTATCTATCTATCTAAAATATATATATATATTTTTTTTCAGTCACATGTAGCGTATACCATTGCAGTGGTGAATGCTCATATTAAACATGAGTCACATTTTCAAGTAATCCCTATGAGCCCAAAGCTCTAGCTTCAAAGTGCTCTAAACTCTCTGGTTCAGCTTTTTCTTCTCTTGGCTCAAATAACAGACAGACAATATATTTAATATGGTCATCTCAGACACACAGCTCAGACTTAAAGCAAATATTGTGTTTGCAAACTGCAGCTAGTCAGAAGTAAGAGGGCATAAACAGAGGTGAAAGGAGTTGGAAATTATTAAAATAGTTCCCCGTCTAAATTTAACAGTCACATGTCTTTCACACACACTCTCACACACACATATTTTCACCGAACATATGTTGTGAAATATCTCTGCGCATATGCTAACCGCTAAATGGCATTCTGACAGTCTCAAGTAGACTGTCAGACAAAAAAAAAGAGAGACAGAGATGGCAGTAATACTAATAAGGAGACAGATTCAGTATGTGTGTAGTTGTCCCATAAAACAAGCTTGATAACAATGAGCTATGGAGGAAAACATCTGGTTGCTCTGATGCCTGGTGTTGCATGGAAGTGGGTTTTTTTTTTCCAGCCACGTAGTTTTCTGTTTGTTGCGCAATTTTGAACACTGAACAAAACTGCCTGTGAAAACTGGATTTTGTTTCCCAAAAGGTATTGTAACCGCAGCTTCAACAATGAATCATTCACAGTCTAACGCAGCCAAAGAACTGACTTGAACCCGAGCCCTTGTCCCACCCTGTATACAGCTTGCATCCCTCTGCTGTGTCCTGTGGACCCAGGGAGTGAAGAGGAATCGCTGGTAATATGCAAACCAAAATCTAAGTCTTTTTCGGACATCACAAACAAATTCAGGTCCACGCACTTATTTGTTCGGGACAAACATGTATATAGGACTTGAATACAAACATCAGAATGAGAAAAAAAAAAAAAGCAAAACACAAATTTCACCCATTACTCTAGGTGCAGTGTGGTCTCTGTTTCAAAAGGGGAAATATTAATCACATTTATTTCCAATTGGAGCATGAGGCAGAACAGATGGCAAGAATGAAATGAGATTTTGCAGGCTGCTCTTGCATTGCTTCACGGAGACTGTGGCAAACTGGAGAGGGGAAGACTTTCTCTCAGTATACTGGCCCGATCATAGCAAACAGACATAGATTAATTGAGTTGGAAAGCATTGATGTTAAATTAAAATTTTACAAAAGTAACTTTTAAGCATTACTTCAAACAACCCCAGAAGATAGTTGCTCAGAATGCAAAGCAAGTCAAGAACTGCACAAAACTGCTTAAGCTTGTTTTATCAGTGACTCAGTTGGTATCTAAAACATCACATTTTGGTCATCAAGTGTGCAGGTGGACTAAGCTGAGAGGCTTAATGCAATCACTGCTAATCCCTTTAATCTGGAACTTTTTTCTTTTTCTTTTGGAATAAACTTCATTACCCAGTCAGGACTATGACTCCCATAAGCCTCTTTTTTATTGACATTAGGGTCATGTGTAACTCTTGCATTTACTTACCAGTGTATTATCCATTTTTCCACTAGCTGACATGCTGGGCATCATCAGTTATTTACAGTTCTGCTAAAGTTACCGAAATACAAAAGAAGTCGAATCATAAGTCAGCGCAAAACAGCCTCTTGCCTCACCTTCCTGGGAATGCAAATGCAGCACATTACCTTGGCACTGACAAGTGACTGAGCACAAGATTTGACTTCAAGGCACACCCTCTAATTTTAAGTTAAATTTCACAAGGAGAGAGGAAGCATTTACATTTACGTGTGCTCATGCCTGCTTTAACAAGCCAGGGAATATCTCCTTTAGATAGCTTCAGATATATGGCAAATAGCTGAAAAGCAGTTAGTGCCGCTGCATATTAAGTGGTCCAGAATTGGTGCCTAAAATGACAGAAAAAGGACTGAGGACTGAGTGATTGTGCATGACTAACACCTTAATGAGCTCCACTGAGCTCTATTTTTCCTCTGCAGAGAGCTGTGTATCAATCTCAACCTTGAAACTGCAGGGCCAGTGCTCTCTTGTTTCTGACTGTTGAGTCTCATTTTGGTTGTGACCTTCTTCTGTCCTCCCTGCAGCTGCTCCTGATGCTAAGGAGCGGACTCAGACAGGATGGGCCTCCTGTTGGGAACAGAAGCAGAGGATCAATTTACATCCAGTACTGCAAAGATAAGAAGTGGAATTAAATATTTGATCTCAGTCGTTTGCTTCGGGAGGTAGCTGCGGTCTGTTTGTTTTTGCCCTTCAGTGTTTGGCCTGGTAGTGTTTAGAACAATAAATGGTTAATTTGCAGCACAGATTTTTTTATTTTTAAGTCGTGAAGACAAATGGCAGTGAGAGTGGATTCTCTGTGAAACACATCCAGACATACTGTTCTGTTTTCTTGGTCTCATCAGAATTGGACTGCATGGCAGCCAATACAGCTTGAGTCCGACAGCTGTGGAGCCTTAAAAGTTTAACCACAAATCTTTGTATTGAGGAAATCTGCTGTCTTTGATGAATAAAAGAAGAGCGCGCTATGTAGGTGAGAAATTACCTACCACTACACTTGATACGTGAAAACTAAAATAGGCAGTTCAGGCAATCACAATCATTCCATCATGTTACATTGACTAATCATAATGAAGCATTCACAGCTGTCTGGAATCTGTGCCAAATTTCATAGACAGATGATTTTTTTGTGTCCAACAAAACATCCATTTAATGTTAAATATGAGCTCGTCTCAGATCTTATGTCCATTGGCACAGAGTGAGATTAATGTTAAAACAAAATCCGTGGCCCAAGAAGATCACTCATCTTTTCTAACATGAACATAGCTCAACTCCAACACATGAAATCCCCACTACCAATCATCGTGGTGGAAGAAAAGCAATAGGAATGAAAGTTAATAAAACTCTATTTAATATGTAATGAATTGTTATAGCCACTGACAGATCCATATTGATGTTCAAGGTTTCGAAACAGCAAGGAAACCAACTATACAAAAGTTTCCTGGTCTTATGCTTCCCTCTTGTGGCCAGCTTAGGAAATTGTTTCACTGTGCTCTGAACTCCTACTGCCTACCAGTAGCCATTTTAGTAAACCTGAACCTAAAATAAATGAATAAATGAATATATACATATATTCATATCATATAATGTAATTTAATACTATATCTCAATGTTCGGTGCTAATACGTGCCCAGAACCTTTGTTAGATAGATAGGACTCTGGAATCTGAAGAAATCATTACTCTGAGTGCTACTCCGAGTGAAGCCAAACGGGTGAGGCAGGAAATGTGACCACAAAGAGACAACTCTTAGTCTGTTTATTAGGAGACACTTGGAGAAAGTTGTTTTTCATTAAATTACAAATGACTGTAAACTTATATTAAATATATTCATATCTGCAAATCATGCTGCTTAACAATAATTTCTTTTGTAGCAAACACAAAAATTAGGAGTGTTGGTAAGCTGACGAACTTCTGTTAAAATGCAAGCATTTTCTTGAAAGAAAAAATACAAAAAAACAAGACACACACATATTATTGCAGCATTTACAGATGTGTCAAGATTAGGTTGCTATAAATTTAATGAAATATTAAAAAAAAACATTTTTTTATATTTACATTCAGCATTAATATAAAACAATATTCAAGTCCAATTATTACATTCATGTCTACATACAAGTTTTTCATGGTTGTTTAAAAAAATACAAAAACATACACAATCATGCTTAAACTATATAGTTAGTGCAAAATAACAATAACAAGTATATATCATTTAGCATTTTATATTCAGTATAAAACACTAAAATCAACTGATAATGTTAACTGCACACAATGATGACCTGATGATGTGACAGGAGACGTGCACATGTTTTAAAAAAAAAAAACATTGATCCACAGTCTGCTTATCAGTTAAGAGTGGGTCACACCAACGTTTCTGGTAGAGCTTCTGGATTTTCTTTTGACATCATCTTCCATATATGCCACCTCTCTTTCTGCCAATTTGAAGAATCAGGGCCTTTTTCCTCTCCAGGCCCAGTGGCATCTGCTGTATCTACAATCTTGAAGTCAGCGCTCTGCTGGGACTGTTGTGGGATTTGGGGGTCATGCTGAGATTTTAAGAGGGAGGGTGTGGAGTGAGAAATATGAGTCTCTCTTAGAGGTCGAGAGCAGTTAAGGGAAGATAAACTGTCAGTCCTGACCTGGAGTAATGGACATTCAGTGCATCCTGTCCTTTGTGCTAAGTTGTCTGAGCTAACAGCTCCTGATTGGCTGCTCATTGCCTGATGTAATAATAACAATTCTGGGTGTCTCTGCTCTTGTTGGTCATCAGGACCACTGCTGCAGCGAGTCACCGGAGGGTGTGGCCTGCATTCCGAAACGCCCAATGACATTTGTGTTGCACTGACAGGCAGCTTGTTGTTACCTTGGTGACTGCTCAGCCCCTCGGATGAGCCGTATGAGTCACATTCCGACACGTCTCCAAGGTATCCTGGGAGAAAACATTCATTAGCATCCAGCATTTATTCCATATCCAAAGACCATCTGGAGCAACATGTAAAATGGATTCAGTTACCAGCGATGCCAGTGAAATCCTTTCCGAACAGCTCATGCCAGGTGTCCCAGAAACTGTCAGCTGAGGTTTCTAACAGAAACAAAAGAACTAAGAGGATTACTTTCTTTGCTTTAATGCATATTATCTCAATGCAAAATATGAGAAGGTTAAAGCTATTTCACCTTTTTTAAGCCTCTTTCTGTTTCCTTTTGGCCATGGCAATGTGACGTTTACAAAGAAATTATCTTAGATATATTAGATACTGGAAGTTATGGAAATGATTAATGACATGTGACCATCTTGTCTTTTAAAGAGAGAAATAAACGCCTCCTTGGGAGTATTTCAAGCATCAAAATGATACCATAAAAAATAGAAGTTATCATGTTTTATTATTTGGAAATATACTGTCATGTTTACTTTTTTATGTTCATATTACAAATGTATTCATTATATCTGAACTTTAATGTGATTTTAAGGCACTGTTGGCTAACATAGATGTGGGAGTGAACTCTCAGGAAGAAAATTCCCCAGATCTTTCAAGTTGCACTTTATACATTAAAACTATTGTTGAAATTAATTTTGTTCACCTTTGTCAGTAGAAAGTGTAGGGGAGGTACTGCCAGAGTTGTCTTTCGATTGGTCTCTGAGTTTGTCCTGTCTGGGAACTCTGTCTGAGAGCAGACTGCCGTCATCTGTGTATTTAAACCGTGGTCGATCGGACAGGACGGGGGAGTTATTGTCATAGGGGGAAACCTCTCCACTAGATGGCTTGTGTGAGTCACTGGACAAGCGTCTGTCAGTCAGAGAGAACGACTCTTCTGACGTAAGGCTGGGCTCTCTGTGAAGACAAAGCAGATGCAACATATTAATGGATGGGTATGTTTGGACAAATACACTCAATTCTAGAAAAACCTGTGACCACGAGATATATTGTGTGCTTGATTCTGATCATTTAAGTAGTCATGCATACGCATAAATGCACAATGAGACAAAAGGCAGAAACTCACGAGCATTGTGAGGCCTTTCTCCGCAGTAAATAATCCACCACATCAGGATCTGTTTCCTGCAAACTCATCAACAACTCATTCTGCAGGTCAGGGGGCACCTAGAAAAAAAACCCCATAAATTTGGTTTCTCCTTCATCCTCACTCATTGATTTGGTGATTAATCGCATCAGAACAAAACTCTTCTCCAGAAGGGTTTAACTAAAGTGTGACTCGGCTGAGGTTTCAGTTGAAAAACAGAGAATGTAGATAATGAAGACGAGCATCCTGGCATCATCACACCAACAAAACAGAGGCTGGAATCATATTTTACCAAACCTATATTTGAAGTCGATTTTTATATCTAGATGGGTGAACTTGCACAAGACACAACAGCAAACACTGACTAACCAAAGAAAACCTTAAGAATGTTTAAAATCTTAGTTTGCAGTTAGAGCCCTTACCATAAACAGCGTATCATATGTATCGATCATCTTTTGGACAACGCCGATGATGGCTGCACTCTCCTCTGCACGGGCAAAACTCTCTACTGCAAATTCTTTGTCTGAGTTTTTTTGCTTGTGTAAGAGGTTGGGTCCAAAGACGGTAGCTAAATTAAGCGATGTCATCTTGTTGCCTGTAACCTAAACAAAACAGAACACAGAGTTCTCATAACATGTTTAAACTACTGAACAAACACATCCTCCAACTAAACTTGCATTATATCAATTTATTTGCACATATTTTGCTTTTGAGTTGATGATTAATAATCATATTGGGATAAGCTGATCACTTTAACTGTCTCGTCATTCTCAAACAAAGTGGTGCATAACATGACATAACAGTGCAAAAACATGAAGAATCGCTGGTTCGAGTCCAGGAGGAGTCACAAATTCCCATTAGGATTATGTCAGGATGAGATCTACTGTGAAAAATCTGTCAACTCAAATATGCAGATCCATCTATATCAGGTTTATTGCAGGGAAAATTAGCTGCAATTGAAAAAAAGATGGAAAAAGAAAACACCCGTGGGCCTGAAAGCTTTTGCAAGTGATCTACTAATAAGGCACTAAGTTATTCATGCAAACATAGCCGGTTCATTGCAGTAATGACCAACACAAGCTGCCAAGAGCAAAGCAAATTACTGAAGACAGCTTAAGGCGAATGTTTTATATATCTGTAAGAAACTGGTAAGAACTTTGTGGGAATTTGGATGCTGGGCCATCTGCTCTTTGGCTAGCTTTGACAGCTCAGGTGTGGAGAAAAACTGCTTTAATACAATCAAACCTATACGCCTGGAATCTGTAACAGCTGTCCTGTGAGATGTGCAGAATAACAACACAAAACACTGTTTGCCATCAGATCCTGTCTGAATATTAATGGAGTTACCCCTACTGTGTGTATGCACTGCTGAGTAAAGACATGTACAGGCTTTTGTACTCTCTGCAGTTATCACTGTATGGGCTGATCTCTGTGTAGAAATGTGACTTGAAGGACAAAATACTGGAAATTACCTTGTTCACTGTAAAAAGTAAGTTTGCTGCCTCTCATACATCACGGTTTGTATCTATCTTGTTTTAAGAAACTATTGTCCCCTTCCACTGCGTGTCCATGTAAAGTTGTGCCCTGTTACACTGAAATACCAGTGTGATTGAGGACAAGAAATATGTGAAGTGCTTTTCTAAACATTCAGTGGGAGGAAACAGCGAAGAGCCAAAGGACAGAGCCAAAGTTCTGCCACTGCACTTACAACTTTGACTAATCCACCCACAGCAATTACGCACTCATTCCGATAACATCTCCTGTTGGCATTTCAAATAAATTAACGTTCCTAGCGGCAACTATCACAATCACATCAGGCGCAAAATAAGACATGCTTTTTCCTGAGTTAAATAATGGTGTAATTTGCACTAATTTGCCTGCAACAGTCCTTAGTAAATCACATTTGTATGATTCATTTAAATAATCTCCTCCCTAATTTTTTGCACTTATTGGCCCTTCCAGTTAGGTTTATTATTTGCCACGCAGTGAAAAGAGCATTTACCAAATTTCATTAAATGATGCTTGCCTCGAGGCGACCGTTGTTGTTGACTGTTGTGAAATAAACTTAATTGAATGATACTTATTCCACCTCAAAACCTATGAAGTTAATGCTTATGTTTTGTTCATCAATTCTGAACCATGAGAGGGAAATTTAATCTGCAAAATGTGTCCATGCTTTATAGCCACAAAATTGACACTGTGCGTATTAAGTAAATCCCAAGAGTAGCTTTTAAAAAGCCAATTGAGGGTTTTGCACAGAACAACAGTAAATCAGGCCCTAAGACAGAAGAGAATGATACCAACATGCAGTGTTTATGTCCTCACTCAATGGTTATTAAAGAAACCATATTGTGCATAAAGGTGTTGCGTTTTGGTCCCTTTCCCTTCCTTCAAATTAAAAATAAGAGGCCTCAGATGTACTGCATATCTTTTTGACTTCCCTCCGATGGCAGTTGGGATACAATGTATCAGCAGTTTGTCAATGAGATTGTTTTGTGATTTAACATATTTTTTCCTATTCAGTGATAGAATCAACACGCTATAAAATTTGATTTCTTGCCAAAAGAGGCAGTCCCTAAGGGTTAAACTCTGGGCGTCTTCTGGGAGCAAAGAAGACAAAATTATTTGCTAAATTATCATCACCTCATTGTGTGCTACCTCACACTTATATAAAATTCATCACACAAAAGCTTGTGCTTCTCGGAAGCATTTTAGACTGCTGTAAAAACCGGCCTCTACCTTCTGTCCCTCACTGTCCAGGCTGTCTTCAGCATGTGCAGACACAGTGGACAACAAGCCGAGGAGGCACTGTAGTGTGTCGCTGTTACAGGGAGGAAGCATAAACACCAGGAGCTGGATGGCACTGTCTTGCTCTGAAAAATTCAGCACTGTAGAAGAAAAGAACAACAACAACAACAAAAAACAGTTAACATTAATTTCAAAGTAATCAGAAGATAGTGGATTGTTTATTGTGTATGTCTTTTTCTTACACATTGTATTGATGAAGGCTGTATAAAGTTCTTTTGTCAGCAGTGACTCAGGCATGTCTCTTAAGAATTCTTTAAACAATGCAGCTACATCATGGACGCTGTGCTCTTCATCCATGTAAACCTCCCATCCCTGGTCGAATTCCTCACGAAGCTGGGTGAAATATTGTGACAACTGATATGGTTAAAAGGTTACCCGTGGATAAAGTGCAGAGGTGTTAAAAAGCTAAGCTGACGTCTTACTTGTCGTACTCGCTTCTTGGAACTCCCAACACGAAAAATTCCAATTGTCTGTAGGGCTAAACAAAGACAAAGATGCTCCTTTAGAGCCAACTTCCAAGGCATTTTCATCGCAAGACAATGAACATTTAACCAAGTGTTTAAGGGGATATTCTGTACATTTTGCATCCATCCATTTTCTTCTGCTGGGGCTGGAGCCTATCCCAGCTGCCATAGGGTGAGAGCCAGGGTACATCCTGGACAAGCCCCCAATCTCTGCCGTTTTTGTTTCAACTGTTTTCTCCTGTTTTTGGTTAGACAGGGAGCTCAGCCATTGTATTTTGTTTTGGTTAGAGAGTACTTGGTTTGATTTTTAGCTAAAGGGGGTGTTTTGTTTGTTGTTTTGGCTTTGGGGACCCTGAGAAAAGAGCTTCCCTGTGTTTATTTTTACTGCAGTAGTTTTGGGCAATAGTTTTGGGTCCAACACAAAGAGATAGACAACCATTCACACCTAAGGCCAGTTTTAAATGACCAATTAGCCTAACCCCACTAACTACATGTTTCTGAAGTGTGGGAGGAAGCCAGAGTGTCCAGAGAGAGGGGAGCACACAAATTCCACACAGAAAGGCAGAAAGGCAGATGGTGGATTAGAACCCAGGACCTTCTTCTGTGAGGTGCATTACTGTACATTTTATAGAATTTAATTTGGTATTCTGCACTGTGTTTATGTACCTTTACTTGTGCACTACGTACCGTATTTTTCCAGGTGCTGGCAGCACTGGTCCACTATCTTGGGCACCTGTCTGTAAATAGGGTTAAGGCTGAGCTTTTCGTCATGGTGCTTCTTCGTGTTGCCAGCTGCCTCTTCTGGCAGAGACAGCTGGAGTGCCTCCAAGAGCCGAGACTGGTTGTCATCAAGGTCAGTGATGCAATCCACAGACACTCCGCCCTGTTAAGTAGATGGGTGACAGTATAATGACTGGAAAAGCAATTGATCATATGCTGTGAATGGCCACATCATCAGCCTCCGGAGGAACATCTAAAAAGGTCACAAATTCTCAAAGAAATCTCGAGTGCAAACATAATCAGACAAATAACTTGTTATTCTACATCGGTGTATGTAAGGTTTGTTGACAGGGAAGCCTACCCGTCTGCGTGTCCGTGGGGCTATGTCTGGTGTGCTGGGCAGTGGTGATTCATTAAGGGTCTCAGAAGTGGAGCTCAGTGACGAGTTGCTGCTGGAGAGCTCTTTGTTAGCCCTTTTGTAGCTAGATGTAAGATGAAGGAAGGATAGCATCAATTCAGTGGGGTCACTGTGCTCTTCCCGTGGGTGATCGTGCCGCAGCTTGTGCATGCGGTCGTTGGTTATGACATGCGACAGTGGTATGCCAAACGCCTGTGGCGTGGTGTCTATGTGAGGGGGGAAGAGCAAGACAGCGAGACTTAAAGTTCACATATAAGCTCCAAGTCAACAGAAAGCTTCTCTTTAGATGTGTCAATCATGGCAGCGTATTATCCATTTTACTCTCTGGATTAGTTTCCGTAGAAAGCATTTAATATATATTTTTAAATAAATCCTGCTCAAGATAAATGCCAAGAACACTGTTCTACAGCCACACTTAATATTCAGAGTGAGGGAGCACATACTTTCCCAAGTGCTTTTGTAAACAAAAAGGGAAAAGAGGAAAGAGGGGGCTGGGCATGCCCGAGGATAGGCTGTAACGAACAAGCCACCACTTAAGATTGTTTTAGTTATTTCCCTTGACTGCCTGTCTGACAGAGAACATCACTTTCCTGTTGGATTGTTGCAGCGGGCGGGGCAGCGTGGTGGTTGGAGATCACAGCCTTCTCTGTACTGATTTTGATCGCTCAGTGCTCCGTGGGTATAAAAAGCTGAGATTGTCGGCTTCAGTGAGTCGATACAGCTTCAGCCAAAAGGGATAAAAGAGTATTTTTTTAAATGTCACAGGCTGACTAGACTAGAAACTGGAAGGGAATGAAAGTCTTACAAGACTCAGTGGTTCTCCTACAGACCTAAAAGATAGCTGTGTTTATCTTTATCTGTTTAAGAAGTGCTTGAAAGCACCAAAGTTCCTGCTATGCTGCCATTACTTCATGTCGTAAATAGAAAATTGGGAGAAAACTACCCTTTAAAGCACCAGAATTAAGACTATATCCTGATCATGTTACCTTTGTCTTTACTCTTCTCTTTAGATAATGAATCCAGCTTCCTCCTGAGTGTCTTCTTGTGCTTGTGGCCATCTAAAAAAGAGTCGCAGGTAAAAAAAACAGAAGTCTAGATAATATGTTTCTGTTTTTGTCTGCTCCACTTGATATTCTCAGGGTCACTACACAAAAGAGCTAAGAAACATACACAAACTATATAATAAAATGTCAAGATAATGATATGCAAAGCCAATCTTAATTCACCGTGAATTTACAGGACTGTTCCTTTTCAGAAAACAGCACATTTTTCACATGTCCTCTATTTATGGCATTTTCAAAGCACTACAGACTCCAGGGACGATTTTGAAACAAGAAAAACCAAGACAGCTCACCAGAAAATAAACAGTTTTTAAAAGCTTTCTTTATAGAGGGCAGCAGTAGTGGACTCCAGAAATGATTCAGCCTATTACTGGAGAAGGTAGATGAGCTCACGTCATTAAACCAATGAGTTTATGAGTATGACGCCCTTACACAACAAGGAGAAAAAGGAGAGAGGAACATTTCCCATCTGTTGCTCAGCATGTGTTTTTTCAGAAAGTTTCTTGCCTGAGACAGAATAACAACTTGGGAGACAAGAAGAGGCCTGTAATTGTGTATGTGTCTGTGTGTGGTAATACATTTAGGGATGGTGATGTGGCAGCCCAGGTCATGACACCGAAGCAATCGCTTGAAGGCCACATCCTGGAGACGAACCCTCTCCAATTCTGAGAGGCTTTGCAGGGGGACGGGCTTGAGGCCAACAGTGCCTCCTGACAAGCTGTTCCAAGTGAAGTCACCCTGAGGGCAAACACAAACATGCAGGTTTTAAAGCACATCAGACAATTACATCCATAATTTGTGTCATACGTTCATGACCTGTCACACTCTCTGCAGATGGCAGTGTGCATGAACTGGCAAACACTTGCAGTTCTGCTTCACTTGGCAGCTGAAAATCATCAAAACTGTTTCCCACGAGGGAAACTGACAGACTGCACGGGAGAAACGGGTTGCAATGTGCAAATGTTATTCATTTCTTGTTGCGATTGTATTAAACACTTTATGTAATTCATCACAAATATTTTTTCTGCATGTAAAAACAAGAATTATGAGGTGTTGACATTAGTGACGCTGCCTGACTAAACTTGTGTCCCAGTAATGTGAGGCCTTTTGACCGTATGCCTCCACCATACAGTGTAGTTACAGATTGCATCCGTATCTGTCCAGACACACATGCAGTCATGTGAAAAAGAAAGTGTTCACAAGACTATGCATTCCTGTGAAAGAAAAAACCACTACACTCCATCATTCAATAGCATGCACCATTAGCAGCAATAACTTGAATTATT